CGAATCTTCAACGAAAGAGCAAATAATTATCGACGAATCTTCAACGAAAGAGCAAATAATTATCGACGAATCTTCAATTAAAGAACAAATAAACGTGACAAAGAAAGAAAGTTTACCTACTAGTGATATCGCCAATAATACTATTCAACTGCGACCATACCAGAAAGAGTGCATTGAAACATGCATGTACAAATTTTTAGAGAAGAAAGTTAAACGACAGATAGTTTCATTGCCTGTTGGTAAGTATATTATTTATCATACGCATGATTAAACTTTATTTACGATTATTGACATATTAGAAACTCATTTGTTAATTAGGAAGCGGGAAAACGGTTTATATTCATAATTTTTAATCAGCTTTGCAAAAGGATTAAATAATATCTTGTTTCATAAAAATAACTTGTACACAAATGTTGAATAGTGGTTTTTTGTTTAGGTTATTTTTACAAGCCTTATAAAAGAAATTCCGGACCCATTTCCTGGTGCCAATAAGGTTTTAATCATTGCTCATCGACAAGAACTTTTGGATCAAGCTCACAAGCATGTTTCTCTGAGAATGCCCAATTCTGTAAGTATATTTTTTTTTGGTTACACGAGAAATAAAATTGAACAATCTAATTAAATATAATTTTTATGACCTTTTTATAAAGGTCGTTGAAATAGATCAAGGGAATAGACGTGCAGTTGGATATGGCGATATTATAATAGCAAGCGTACAGAGTCTAGTGCATCAGAAATCACATCGTATGGAAAAATATGATCCACAACAATTCAAAGCTATCATAATTGATGAGGTATGTTTCTCGAAGTTCATGTAGATTTAATTTATATTCTAAGATATTTTCGATTAATAACATAGGCTCATCACGCAGCCGCAAAGACATATCGTAAGATTTTTGAACATTTTGGAGCTGACTCGGAAAACACGCATTTATTTGTTTGGGGATGCTCGGCTACAATTCGAAGACACGATGGTCTTGCACTTCAATCTTTATTTGATGAAGTTACTTTTCATAGAGATTTCTTGGATATGATACGAGAAAAATGGTGATAATACTGCCAGCATCTTAAATATAGATTTACATTTGTATCTCATCAATGACTTTTTTTAGGCTATGCGATATTAAGGTGACAACAGTAAAAACTGAAATTGATATTAGTAAAGTTAGAGCGCTAAAAGGTGAGTTTGTGATAAGTGAACTTGCCAAAGAGGTGAATGTTAAAGCACGAAATGAGATTATCATCAGAACATATTTACAATATGCAGGTATTATGATAACGTATATAATATAATGTTATCGATGTTATCTGAATTTCTATAATCTGACTGATTATTCATTTTTTTATCAGCTGATAGAAAATCAACGCTGGTTTTCGCGGTAGATATTGAGCACATAGGTCAATTAACTATTCATTTCCGTGAAGCTGGGATAGAAGCTCATGGAGTTAGTGGTAATACGCCTAAAAATGTCAGGTCCCGTATTCTGAATGAATTCAAAGCCGGAAAATTTCCAGTTTTGGTGAACTGCGGTAAGTGCTTTGGAATCCAAAAATTTTGATAATTGGTAATAAATACTGTATTTTGAACAAAAATTTAAATGAGTCAAGACAAAGCATAGGTAACTTTTTAATAAAAAAATTTACGATATTTCAGGTATTTTAACAGAGGGTACTGATATTCCTAACATTGATTGTATATTGATGAGTCGACCTACACAGTCTGCAGCATTATTCCAACAAATGATTGGACGTGGAATGCGTCGTTCCGAAGGAAAAAATAATTGTCTTGTTATAGATTACGTTGACTCGTACTCTAAATTTCATAATGTTAAAACATTGCCAACTTTATTGGGATTGAATCCGAATCAAGAACTGGAGAGTGAGTAATTTTTTTTGATAATTAGTATGGTATTCCCAATATATTAATTATAATTCGGCGAAAATATGAACAGATGAAGATCCGCTGGAATTTTTAAAAGGTATTCATTATCATTATCATCGGCATTTTTATGTTAGGATGATATTACGTTAATTCTTTAAATTAATGTGATTAGAATTACAAGGATCACCGGAATCACTGGAATCACCGGAATCACTCGAGTCACCGGAATCACTGGAGTCACCGGAATCCTTGGAATCAGAAGAAAAAATAAACATAGGAGAATTGATAACGAATTTACACATTACCGAATGGGAGAATCCTTTTGAATTATTAGAAGATTGCTCTGGTGCTGTATTTCTTGATAAACTAAGCAGAAATGCATGGGTTAAAGTTGGCGATATATATGCTCTCTCCATGAGATCAGAAGGAACCATAAAATTAGAAAAAAACGAAAAAACTGGTATTTATCTTTTTTTGATTATTCGATTCTAAATACTTCTGATTTATTTATTTGATATTTAACAGGACTTTATGAAGCTAAAAAAAAAATCTTAATAACAAGCAATGGTAACTTTTACCAGAAGAAGATGGATCTGCCATTGCCAATAAAGAGTGATAAACTTGAACACGCAATAAAAGCCTGCGATACTTGGATAGAGACAAATCTGCCTGCAAAAGTACAATTAATTATTCGGCGCAATGCAAGCTGGCGATCCGATCCAATAACACTGAACCAAAAAAAAGTTTTAATGGGAAGTGCTCACAAAATTAAAGAGTGGACAAACATCGAGAAAATAGATAAACTTTCCAAAGGACAAGCAGCAAATATGATTACCCGGTTGAAAGAAGGAGCAGCTGCAAGCTGGAAGCGTACGCAAAGACGAAAAGAGATTCAAAAGAAGAAAGAAATCAAAGAAATGAAGCGTGGTCCAATATCGGAAGGCCGGTTGAGCTCATTACAGTTCTAAATATGAAAATTAATATATATTTTTTTTAAATTTTATGCAATACACGAGTGAGTGAATGATTTTATTTAAATTGCTGCATTTATTTTTAGTGTTCTCGATGATTTTATTGTTTAATATCACGTGAGAAAATTTGCCAGTCTGTTTGTAAAATTCTTCGATATTATTGTAGAGTTGGTCTTGAAGTCGGATTGCCGTATTTCACTGCATAAAAGACCCCAGGAACGTTGCATTTACCAATAATAAGAAAATGGTAAAAAAGGGAGACGCCTATCATAAGGGTATTATTCGAGCCAATCGAAATCGGATGATAGTAATTGAAGTGCAAAATGGAATCAGAAGTACACAACAAACTTACAGATAATATATTTTTATTTTTTATGAAATGCTCGATTTTGATAATCTTTTATTTTCTGTACTCGCCTTGCTTTTAAAAAGTATTTTTAAATTATAAAGAACTTCAAACTTTAAGTGTAGTGTAATTATTGCCCAAAGAAATCATTTCATTTTTCTTCGATTGTAAATCTTGCGTCATATAGTTACTTATAGTCGCATGTTCGGATATGTAAAAGTGAATTCTATTTCGATGGTGTTGCCTACCCAGAGTTTAGGGATGTGAGATTAGTTACAAGAGAAATGACATTTCGTACCCGATCCCACAGGTTATGTTCGTGCTGATTTTACTTGCGTGGTGTGATTAGGAAGAACCAATAGCAAAACTGGTCTGATCTTCAATTCATCATTTTCTCCTCTGTTAATACTAGCATAATTAAGCAAAAATGCGATCATTCAACTAGGGTTCCGAAAAAAAGTCTGGTTCGGTTCGAGTCTGGTTCGGTTCGAGCTTGAACCGGACTCGAACCTGATGAAAAGTCCGGTTCGAAAATTCGAACCTAATTAAAAGTCTGGTTCGAGTTCGGTTCGAATTTCGAACCAGACTCGAA